GGCTCCACGGACCAACTGCGGGCTTTGACTTGCCAGCAGGTCCGATTGGCTCCTGGAGGCCTTCCTGCGGCAGGGCTGTGTTGTGGCTGAGTGAAGGAGTTAGGGAGTGACCTGGCTCTAGGACCCATGTCCCTGGACAGCCCCCGGCCAGCCCTCAGGCGTTGTCCCTTAGAGCACAGGTATCAGGTGGCCCCTGTGGAGGGGCCAAGCCCCAGTGAAGGCCTTTCTTGGGGTCCTGGCCTCTGCCTCCCCGTGGAAGCCTGGGAAAGGAGGTGGGAGCTGACAGTCTGCAGGAAGTGGGGGTAAGGGGTACATTCATGGTTTTTCATAATTGGCAGTTTCCCTGAACTTGGCAAGACCCCACATAAGGGTGAAGCAAGAAGGAAGGTCCGGGCCGACCTCGGGCATCGGAGCGGGGGTGGGGAGGCTGCCCAGGCCCTTGTTGGTTTCGAGTTTCCATGATACAAGACCTCTCTTTTTTTAAACCAGAGAGACTTATGCCAAAATCCTTAAAATTTAAAATTTTAAAACAGAAAAACTTCAAATCATAGATATCAATACAAACACTGTTTTCCCCACTTGAAACAATTTGTGTTTACTGCTCTTCACCTATTCCCAAAACTAACAAGGTCAGCCAGGATGCAGGAAACGCAGCATGGCTGCAGGTATCAACCAAGCGCAGCCTGCTCCACAGGGAAGGAGGCCGTGCTGCAGGGCCTGGGGGCACCCAGGGCTGCACTTCGGCGGGGGGCAGGAGGTAGGCAGCGGTGGCCAGTGCCATCTCCACCTCGGGCACGTCTTGGACTGAGCCCTCAGTGAGTAGGTTCCCCAGGACAGGATCCTCATTGTTGGACCGGGAAGGAGACAGAGTATGCTGTCCCAGGGTGAGGGGTGAGTCGGGGTTCCCCTGACTGGTTCAAGCGTGTGAGCCTGTATCCAGGCACGTGGCTGCTCCGCGCCTCGCTTGCCGGCCGTGACCCGTAGCTGGGAGCAGCACAAGCAGCCCATGGACTGTGGTCTGCAGGGGTCCTGCAGCCACCCCTGGTGAAGCGGGCGTCTCTTTGGAGAATTGGATGGTTTCATGGCTGTGGCAGGGCCACCTTGTGGACTCGGCAAGGAAGGAAATGCTCAGGAGAGGGAATAGCAGCCCCCACCTGGAGGGTTTCCAACAGGCAGCGTGCAAGCCATAGGATGAGAAGTGGCATGGTGGGCTACCTGCACGAGTTAGGATGGGTGTGTGGGGTAGGAAGGGTGTGGGATAGGGGGTGTGGGGTAAGGGGTGTGGTGTAGGGGTGTGGGGTAAGGGGTGTGGGGTAGGAAGGGTGTGGTATAGGGGTGTGGTGTAGGGGTGTAGGGTAGGGGGTGTGGTGTAGGGGTGTAGGGTAAGAGGTGTGGGGTAAGGGGTGTGGTGTAGGGGTGTGGGGTAAGAGGTGTGGGGTAGGGGTGTGGTGTAGGGGTGTGGGGTAGGGGTGGGGTAGGGGGTGTGGGGTAAGGGGTGTGGGGTAAGGGGTGTGGTGTAGGGGTGTGGAGTAAGGGGTGTGGTGTAGGGGTGTGGGGTAGGGGTGTGGGGTAAGGGGTATGGGGTAGGAAGGGTGTGGTGTAGGGGTGTGGGGTAAGGGGTGTGGGATAGGGGTGTGGGGTAAGGGGTGTGGGCTAGGAGGGGTGTGGTGTAGGGGTGTGGGGTAGGAGGGGTGTGGTGTAAGAGGTGTGGTGTAGGGGTGTGGGGTAGGAGGGGTGTGGTGTAGGGGTGTGGGGTAGGGGTGTGATGTAGGGGTGTGGGGTAGGAAGGGTGTGGTGTAGGGGTGTGATGGAAGGGTGTGGGGTAGGAAGGGGTGTGGGGTAGGAGGGGTGTGGGGTAAGAGGTGTGGTGTAGGGGTGTGGGGTAGGGGTGTGGGGTAAGGGGTGTGGGGTAGGAGGGGTGTGGGGTAGGAGGGGTATGGGGTAGGGGTGTGCCCTGGTTCTGTGACGTGCAGTGTTGGAGAAGGGTCGTTACCCAAGAGGGAGCCTTGAGAGCAGGGGTGGGGAGGCCGGTGCCTAGCTGCGGGTGTTTTCCAGGCGCTGGGCACCTCGCAGCCTCGAGGCCCTCTTCCCAGGTCATTGTGAGGGTTTCTGTGCATGCTGGGCCGTGGTTCGGTGCCCTGCAGGTGGTTGTAGTCTGTCCTGTCTCCCTTGCTCGGCCCGCCTGCCACTTCATGTCACAGGCTCAGCTTCCGGTGCCATCGGTTTTTTTCCTGCCGTGTGCGTTTCTTCTGTGGATGTTGTGTGATTTGTTCTGGTTCTGTTTTCCCAGAATGTTAGCATGGCCGAGTGGATGCCTTTTCTGAAGGGGATGTGTAATTCCTTTATTTCCTTCTGAGCCGCACACATTTTTGTGCACAATTCCATTCATGCAGAGCACTCTAACTGTACTTAATGGTTTCTCCTTGATTCATGAATGTCACTGTCCCCAATTTTCTTATTTTTCTTTTATTAAGATTTATTTACCTGTTGGAAAGGCAGACTTACAAAGAGAAGGCGACAGAGAGGGAGGTGTCCATGGCTGGTTCACTCCGAGTGGCTGCTCCGGGTTTGGCCAGGTGGAAGCCAGGAGCTTCTTCTAGTCCCCAGCAGGGGTGCAGGCCCCTCCTCCCCCAGCATGCCAGCGGGGAGCAGCGGGACCTCAAACCGAAGCCATGTGCTCTGCCAGTGCCATGGGTGGTGGCTTCACTCTGCTGCGGCACGATTGACCCCCGCCTCCTGGCCCGGCCCCGCCTTCGCTCTTCTCCGTGGTGTTTATGCTGTCATGTGTGCTTGGCTTGCTGGGACAGCACTGGGAAATGCTGCTGACCTGGCCAGCGGTAGGCTGACATGGCTGTGCTGTCCCCAGGTGTTTCTGTCTGCTGGGACCTCTAGGCATACACAGTCAGACACCAACTGACCGGCTTCCTCGTGGCAGCCCCTGGCTGTGGTCATGTGCCCGCCTCTGCCCTCGCAGGGTGCTTGCTCTCCGATGTGCCACACTGACTTGCTGGCCGAGCTGCCCGCCGACCTGTGCGCTACCCCTGGCTGTGCTCGCTGGTATTGTTGGGTGTAGCTGTCCCACGCGAGTCAGAAGCTTTCATTCTCTCTTGCTGTCCTCTGTTCGGCCGTGTCCCCTAGGGTCTGCAGTGACCACCGTCCTGTTGACCCACAGTGTGGCATGTCTTCTCTGACACCGTCTGTGTCTCAGTTCGCCTCATGAAGCACTTCTGTAGCTTGGGCCCCGAGGCCACACAGCTGGCCTGCTCCGCCTCCACTGTCTCACTGGCTGTGAGGATCTTCTTTTTTTTTCTTTTAATTAATTTATTTTTATTAGAAAGGCAGATATGCAGAGGAGAAGAGACAGAGAGGAAGATCTTCCACCCACTGATTCTCTCCCCAAGTGGCCGCAATGGCCGTGGCTGAGCTGACCCAAAGCCAGGAGCCAGGAGCTTCCTCCAGGTCTCCCACACAGGTGCAGGGTCCCAAGGCCTTGGGCCGTCCTCAACTGCTGTCCCAGGCCAAAGGCAGGGAGCTGGATGGGAAGAAGTTCTGCTGGGATTAGAACCTGTGCCCATATGGGATTGAGCTTTCAAGTCGAGGACTTTAGCCGTTAAGCTATCGCGCCGGGCCCTGTAAGGATGTTCTTAGCTGAGGACACAGGGGCTCTGTCATTGAGATGTCCTGGGAGGAGGGCTGTGTCCTATGGTGCTTGGGGTCCCCTGACAAAAAGCGTTTACTGAAAAAAGATGTGGCTGTGGGCCAGGGGTATAAGCTACGGCCAGGGCAAGGCTGAGCTCGGTGTAGTTAAAGCTGGCTCACACTGCTGCTGTGGGCAGAGATGGCACAGAGGGCACACTGGCAGGACTGCCAAGGCTGTACAGAGACAGTAGACCTGGCAGGGGAGGCCCGCACGAGTGGGGACCATGGAAGGTGCCAGCTGAGGCCAGCCAGTAGGGCACTTCCCTTTGGCAGGGAGCCACTTCCTGCAGGAAAACCTTACCCAGTGGATGGGAGGGTGACAGTGCTGGCTGCATCCCGGCGGGAGAGAATACAGCAGTCAGTCGAGCTCCCTGCTGCCTGCTTCCCTGGGCTCCTGAGTCTGCAGTGCGAGCCAGGAGCCGTGTGTAAGGGTGGGATGAGTGTGGCCCTCCAGACTGAAAACTGTCCCCAGTCAGGACAGGGCATGGGGCTCGGGAAGCCCTGGGTGGGAGTCGGTCAGGGCTGTCTGGCCTCAGTGCCCTGCCCTGGGCCTGGGGCTGTGGGCAAGGCAGCCTGCCCTGCAGACAGCACTTCCCGGCTGTTGTCCCTCAGCAGGGGTGGGAGCGGAGCCGGGCAGGGTGCCAGCGGGGGCTTCTGGGGTGTGTCAGGGATGCATGCGTGTCAAACAGCGGAGAACGGCAGTGACGAGGGCTGCTCCGAGGGGCGTCTGCGGGGCTGATGTTGAGAGGGGCTGAGGTTGGTTAAGCCTGTGGGCTAAAGCTGTGTGCTGCGAGTGGCTGGAAGCAGGATTTCTCGTACAACATCTCCTTCGTATTTCTTTCACAAATCGGTGTGACTCACAATACTGTTTTCAAAGTTTGTTTGTGAAGTAGGGGCTGGCACTGGGTGTGAGCGGGCACTGTAACGTGGGGTCACCCAGAGCGCATTCCTGTTAGCTGGGGGCTGTGGGGAGGCCCTGGGGGTGAGGGTGGGATCAGACCCCAGGCTCATTTTTCTTGTTATGACTGGCAGGAGGTGGGGAGGTGCCGCAGGTGTCCTCCAGTGAGGGCTGGGGTGCCCCCGCCAGCTGCCCAGTGTCCACCTCAGAGCATCAGGAGGTGGAGGCTGGGAATTCGGCCCCAGGAGCCATTTTCACACGTAGTGTGGTCAGCCGACCGGCAGCATGCCTGATTGACATGCACCGTGGCCAAGTGGACATGTGTGCGTGGGCAGCAGGGAGCTTGTGCGCTGTCTGTGGGGTCTCCAGCCTAACTGAAACCCCTCTTCTCTCCCCCATGTAGGTCCAGCCCGCCAAGCCAGACAAGGACTGCTGCTTGCCTGTGGGAGGGCAGCCCGGCCTGAGCGTGTTGGTGAAGTGAGACCTGAGCCATTTTGCATCAGTTGGAGGCGCACACAGGACTAGCGATGAGCTCCCAAAGCCACCCAGGTAGGCCCTGTTCCGTTCTCTGGGCACACTGCTGGGCCTGTGGGCTTTTCTCCTTTCTAGCAGCAGGATAAAATGCTGCGATTGCAGCCCACCTGCTGGCTGTCAGACTTGTATCTTTCTTGCTGCTGGTTGCTGCTGGTGACCACCGGTGCCAGGTGGGGAGTGGAAGCTGGGCGGTGGAGGCCTCCCAGGGTGTGGGAGGAAGGTTGTGCTGGTGTGCCCTCCTGGCTCCTTCCACGGTGGGAGGAGACAAGTATTCAGGGTGCTGGCGAAGGTCACCTGGTGACTTGAGAGCTCCTTTATTGAGCACTTAGTCCTTCGCTGGGGGTGGCTCAAGGTGGGAGTTTCTTCTGTGCTGGGCCCCTGGCCGGGGCTCGGGACACACGCAGCTTGTGCCCGTAGGTGGTGGTCACGGTGTTTGCCTGTTTTATTAGGTGCTGCTGAGTGTTTTACAAGTGTTTAGTCGTCACTGCAGCCTGGGCAGGCTTGACCCGGGGCAGAGGAGGGGCTCCGTGTGGAGCCGCCACACTGGAGGGAGGCCGTGCCCTGCCCTGTCCTCAGGAGCAGTGGGGCTGCACGCTTTATAACCCCGCAGGGTTGCCGTGCACCTGCTGGAGAGGAGCCATCAGGCCCTCTGTCAGCACGTGCGGTGGCCTTCAGGGCCACCGGCGTGTCCCTGTGTCCTGATCTGCTGTTGTACAAGTGCCACCTCAGCTAGCTTGAGTAAGCATCAGAGTCTGGGATGGTGGAGGGAGCTTGGCCTCTGAGTCTCCCCTCCGGAACTGCCCAGAATGGTCATGCACATACTCCTAAGGGTGCTTGGCTTGCCTGGGCGCAGGACTCTGGGTTCTATTGGATTTGAAGGGTTCCTTGAGTTACGTTGCTGTATTGGTGGATGTACGGAAATGGTTTACAGTGACACCTGTGAGTCGGTGCCTGCAGTGGGCACCGAGCAGCGCCTGCTGGCTTCTCCTGCCGCTGTGGGGCTGCAGTGTGTACACGTGTGTGTGTGTGTGAGAGAGAGGGAGGGAGGGAGAGAGAGGATGGGAGAGAGATGGAGAGAGATGGAGAGAGATGGAGACAGAGGGAAGAGGGAGAGAGGGAGAGGGTTTTCCCATGTGTGAGCAGGGTGCTGTGGGTGCCAGCGTTCTGATTGGTTTGGGCCTGTACTGTGTGCTTTCCCGTGTTACCGTGCTGCGGAGTGTTTGATGTCAGGCATGGCTGTAGTGAGCTGTCGGGTAGCTTGCAGTGGGTGTCTTGTGGCAGGAAGCTCACACATCTGTGCTTTGCTCCCTTCCACCCAGTGTCTCCCAGACCCATTGCTCAGGTGGCGGCGGTGTCCCAGCTGCTCCCCGACCACAGAGGAGCTGCGCCCTGATGGGTTAGGCCCTGACTGTCCTGTTGGAGGTCGTTGGAGGTTGGCTCTGGGTGTGTGCAGGCATGCGTGTGTTCCTCTTGACTGCTGCAGACCTGTGCGGGCTGTGGGGTGGTTGAAGATAAGTGCCCTGGTGCCAGCTCCCCTGCCCCGTGTGTCCTGGTGGGTGCTCCCTCGGTCGTGTGGTTCTAGTGGAGCTGTCCTGGTGCCAGCTCCCCTGCCCCGTGTGTCCTGGTGGGTGCTCCCTCGTCGTGTGGTTCTAGTGGAGCTGTCCTGGTGCCAGCTCCCCTGCCCCGTGTGTCCTGGTGGGTGCTCCCTCGGTCACGTGGTTCTAGTGGAGCTGTCCTGGTGCCAGCTCCCCTGCCCCGTGTGTCCTGGTGGGTGCTCCCTCGTCGTGTGGTTCTAGTGGAGCTGTCCTGGTGCCAGCTCCCCTGCCCCGTGTGTCCTGGTGGGTGCTCCCTCGTCGTGTGGTTCTAGTGGAGCTGTCCTGGTGCCAGCTCCCCTGCCCCGTGTGTCCTGGTGGGTGCTCCCTCGGTCACATGGTTCTAGTGGAGTGATTTTCCTGTGGAACTGCAGTGTGGCAGCTTGCCTCTTCCACGAGGAGCTGTAGTTTGCTTCCAGGCACGTGGCGTCATAAACACTGCTCGTCTCTGCTTGCAGAGTGTTCGTTGTGGACCAAGCTAACTTTGACCCTCACTTTGTTCTTGCATGCAGATGGTTCTCTGTTTGCTGACGTCCAGGGTGGAGGTGGCTCCCACCTGTCACTGCGTCTCCCTGTTTCCACCCCAGGCCTGGCCTGGCTGGGCTGTCTGCTCCTTTTCTAGTGTGCGAGCATTGATGCCCGTGGCCCCTGCTCCCTGTCCCTTGTTGTGGGTCAGGAAACGTGAAGACAGGCCTGAGTCAGCCTAGAGCTGGCCAGGGCAGGGTGACCTGGGGCGGGCCCTCCTCCTTTGCCTGCGTGGGTGTCTGCTATTGGTGCGGCCTGTGTGCGGCCTGGAGCTGGCTGGGCACTTTGTGCCCCACTTCCCTGGCGTCCAGTGCTGCTCTGCCACTTCTGGCCGGGGAGTGGGGCCTTGCCAGGCTGCTCCTTGCCACCGACCTGTAGGTCAGGTTCATTCTGTGGTCTGTGCTTCTAGGACATTCTTCCATGCTTCTTGTTAGTCCATGCACCTGTTTGCCCATTGCCAAGCCCTGCAGTGACCGACCCCCACTTACTTGGTGTCGTGTCTGGTGTGGGGATGCTGTCCATGTCTCAGGCCTAGCCCTTCCAAGCCAAAGAGCTGTGTGCTCTGACAGTGCCAGCGTGACACAGAACCCAGACCCCCACGCCTGTCCTGCTCTCCTGGCTGGCCTGCACCCCTCACCCTGACCCGCTTGCCCAGATGGTGCGGGGCCCGTCTCCTGGGTCTGCTCTTGCGTGGCATGGCGGTCAGCGCTGAGGGAGGGCGCTGGCCTTTGGGTGCTGCTTGCTGTGGCGGTGTGCTTTGGCCTGGCCTTGGTGACAAAGTGGCCCTTTCATCTGCTGTGGGGGCCCTCCCAGAGCCTTTCAGAGCCCTCGGGTGCCGGGCGAGGCGTGCCTCCGGTTTTTATTGCCGTTCTCGTTGAGCTTTGCCAGAGCCAGGCTTGGCTCGCTGACGTAAAAGCCGCTTAACTGGTGGGGTTTTACTGCTCTGAATAACTGTCTCATGCTGCGGCCCGGCAAGGGCCTGGGCGCCCTTAGCTGAAGAACCCTTGTTTGGAAGGGGCCTCTGCCGCCTGCCTCGCCCATGCTGCCGACCCTCCCCTGCCCTGGGGGATGTGCTGGGGCAGGCCTGGCTCTGCTCACAGCGCTCCGACTTGTGTGGGCGCAGGGGTGAGGATGCAGCTCGGGTGGCCCCCGGGGGGGCCATCCTCCACCCCCTGGCTGTCCCTTTGTTCCTCTCTGAGGTCCGAGGGGCCTGGCTGCTGGTGATGTGGCCGGACAGCAGGGAGCCACTTGCTGCAGTGCCCTGTTCTGTCGCGCCCACCTTGAGGAGCAGGGCAGCGTCCTCTGAGAGGGTTAAAGTGCCCCAGCTGTGGCAGGCTGCCCTCGCTGCGGCTGGCACTGCTTGTTCTGAAATAACCGAGCTCCGTAACTCGGTGGTTCCTGACTTGGGGAAGGCTCTGCTGCCCTGCCCTTGACTCTGTTTGCCTCAGCCGCCGTGGCCACTAGGCCCCTCAGTTTTCAGCCGGCAGGGATATATTGGAGGCCGTCAGTGACTGGCTGGTTCAGGAACATTAGCTGTATTTCAAAGGAAGAGGAGAGGGGTCTCGCGGCCCCGAGCAGCTGGCTGGGTGAGGGTGGGGGACAGAAGACCCTGGGCTTCAGGTGGGTGGGCAGCCTGGCCAGGATGAGGGCAGCAGCGGTAACAGCTGGGGAGAGTTCCCGGGGGCCTCTCGGTGGAGGGGCATGCTGGCCCTGGGCAGAGCGGGCACTGAGCCCCGGAGGAGCCAGCGTCCACAGGTGCTGAGGTGATGGGAGGGTACCGGCCGGGACGCTTCCATTCCCGTGCCCTGTGGCTCCTGCTTGTCCAGGGAAGGGACGGCCATAGACTCTCCATCCCAGGCAGGCTCCTGCCCCGCTGTTGGCATGCTGCCCTCCGTGCCCTGGGCGCCCCAGGCCGTCATCTGAGAGCCCACTCAGTTCAGGTTTGTTCTGGAAATTCTGTAGAGCTGTGTTTCAAATTACCTTTTTTAAAAAGTATTCAAATTGTGTTTTTTCTTAAGAATCACAAACACTCGGTCTCTGGGAAGAGCGTGGCGTTTGCTGTCTGGGGGGTTGATGGTTTGTTTGGTCAGTTTCCTGAAGATGCTTCCAGAGTCTGTGGGATGCTTGCTTCTGTGTCTTCTCTCAAAACCCCCGTCGTGGAAATGCACACCTCTGAGGTGTGGGGTGATGAGTGGCACCAGAACCTAGGAGGAACCCCAGCCTGTGTTTGACACAGAGGGCCTGCTGTGGGGTCCTGCGGCCGCTGGGCACGGCGCAGGTGCCAGGCACCTCACCGTGGCTCTCACGACTGTCCGGCAGCACTGACGGCCTGCGTGCTCCACGGTGAACTCCGCTGTGCTTCTCAGGCCAGCGGCATGGGAGCCATGGGTTATTGGCTCCACCTTTTCCTCACTGCCGTCCAGGGAGGCGAGTGCTCAGCCTGGGCCTCACCTCACTTCCGAGGCCAGCCTGGCAGCAGTCTGCCGAGTGCCTCCCAGTAGGCTCCGCCAGGCCATGGAGCACCTTCAGGGAGTGTGAGGTCAGGGCCTGCAGGGAGCCGAAGGAGCTGGGGCAGGGCTGTGGACGTGTGGCCGCAGGCTGCGTGCCCAAGGCCAGAGCTGCACTCTGTGGGGCTAGGGAGGGGAATGACCCGGCCTGCTCTGCTGTTTCCGGGGACACATGCCGGAAGGCGAGGGGGCCCTGGGCAGGCGTGGACCTGTGCGTGGTGGGCCTTCTGAGATGCGTGGGCTTGGGATTGAGGGCGCTGACTGATCACCAGGCACACTGAGGTGAAGTGGCAGGTGGCTGGGGACATTTTGCCTCAGAGGCTCTTGACGGCCGGGCTGCACCTCCCAGGCCCCGTGCGCTCTGCAGGCGACCCGCAGCCCTGTCTGCTGG